CGTATGCCACATTCCCGTAAGTTTCTAGTGTTTCTAAAAGTTAAAGAATTGCTACAAGTCTTTGGAAATTCAGTCAACTTCTCACCTTTCGATATTGTCCTTCATCTTCATGCTTTAAGTTTATAGTGTTTCCAAATGATAACGAAGTACTACGGACGTTTGAGACGCAACCCTCGTTACATTGGAAATTCAAAATCATTTTGACCGTATTTTTCGCTTTTGAAAATCTCCTTTCATCTTCTTGGTAAGGTCCTAGTGTTTCCGAAAGCTGACGAAAGGCTACAGACTTTTGAGATGTAAAAGTCTTTAGAAATTTAGCCAACTTCCCACCTTTGGAGATCGTCCCTTCGTCTTCATCAATTATCAATTCAATTATCAATTATTTAAGATGGGGACGCCACTATGTGCGTATTTTAACCCAAATATGAGTGTAGGATGAGTGGCGCGATCTTGTAGTCTTGTTAGTGACTAAGGCCGACATGTTCCTTAGACATAGCTGTTAATTAATAGCACATACAGCTAATGACAACTAAGGGACCTACAGTTTATTGTGGAATCCGAACCACATTTTTCCTCGTAATTAACAAATTGGTCTAATTATTAGGATAGTACTGCGGATGTTCGTAGTACTAACTAGTGCGGACGTTAATCCACACCAGGGAGCATCGCATCCACAGTGCATCCCTATAAATATCCACAATTCGTGACCTCCTAGTAGCTGGATTACAGGACGACGCCACCCGTCCCAGTCATGCTAACCTTTTACTGTTTCCAAATGATAACGGCTAGACACGTTTGAGACACCACGGTTATGTCTTTGGAATTTCAAAATCTTTGTGAACCAACTCTTCGCCTTTGAACGTCGTCCTTATTCTTCCTTGAAGGTTCCTAGTTTTTCTAAATTATTCCAAACTAATTGTTAAGTACGTTAGGCTCTTGTCTTTGAAAATTCAAAATCTTCGCCACCCAATGAGGGGCGAGGACCCAGTCCTTGGTGTCGGAAGTCCCGAGCGTGGGTGTGATGAGCCACTGGGAACCAGGACCCGCGACTGTTCCCGAGACGTGCTCCACGACACACGACCTGCTGCGACTCATTGTCAGGTGTGAATAAGAGATCATCCTCGACCGCTGACAGTGTCACCGAGGACAATGACAATGTGACGAGACTGTACCTCGGTCTGTACGGAGTTGCTAAAAGGTATGACGTTGTTGTGGAGTAACTTAAAGTTTGAGGGTTCGATAGGTTTCCTCGAAAAACTAACTTAAGAAGAATAAGTAAATTGCTACAACATTGAACAATTTGGTTATTTATCAGTCCAGCTCTTGACAATGATAATGAGCTGATCATTTAAAGTTTTTGTGACAAGATATACCTATACCTTGGTAACCAGTAAGGAGTGTGGCTTAGAAATACGGCTGTAACTGGTGTTTCAGGGTTCAATGGATCTCGTATGATAAAAATCGTAGGAAGAATAACTAGATACATTATTGAACGAATAGTTATCAGTTCAACCAAGGCCGCACTAGATATACTAGTGTATATATATAGTATATCTAGTGCGGCCTTGGTTCACCTGATCATAAAACTCAGTTTGTTTGTGACAAGACTGTACATCGGTCAACTGTGAAGTATACTGGGTTGCTAAAAGGTCTAACACGATTTTGCAATTAGTTTTTTGGAATTTCGTTGACCGAATGAACAAACGTAAGAAGGATAAATAAATTGATTTCTTATTTGACATTCAGTTAATTATTATTGGCTCAGTTTATCATAAAATCACTGTTTTGAGACGAAATTGTACTTTTGTAAAGTGAGTGTAGGGTCTGCTAAAATCTAGATACCACAGTGGCTGTGCAGTTGGTATTTTAGGATTCAATAGTTATACTGGAATAAAAAAAACTAACAATAAATACTACATAAGTAGGTTTAAAAAGTACTTATTTTGTTCAAGAAGCAGAAAAATAAATAAAACTAATTGATAGTAAAAGTATGTCCCAGCCCCCCAAAAAATGTGAAAAAACATGGCAGGTGATGATATAATATAAAAGTGCTTGAGTGCGAAAGAATTAAATGAATTGCACCAATTTCATTTGGTAAAATTTATATAATCCTTTTGTGGTTAATACACCTTCCCCTCTACCCACTAATAAAGAATTTTCAACAGTAAAACATTGCATATTATTAAAAATACAGTTTTTTCAAATCCAATTAAATGTTTAATATTAATCAATTATCTTTTTCTTCCAGTTTACACCAGTTGAAAATTTTCATTCACAAAACATAAGAAACATAAATGAAGAGCTCCCAACTGACCAACGATTCCGCTCTTTTGGAAAACAGTAAAAGTTACCTTCACAAATCGAACTCAGCGCATCTTTTGTGAACCCGAGCAGCGTTCAGAAGAAAGCTTGGAACACAGGCGTGCTCAATAAACCGGGAAATAAAAGCCATTCGCTCTTGAATATCTCCATAGACAAAGGCGGAGTTGAAGGATGAAGGAAAATGGAGAGGCGAGCGAAAAGCGAGGGAAAAGGAGAAGGCTATCGAGCGAGCCTTTGTCCGAAAAGAATGGCACCTTTGTGAAGCACACAAAACAGCGAGCTTGGATACATGTTTCGCGGAAATTCAGCTTTGTTTTTGTTCTTCAAAGCTCAACTGCGTCGTACAAATAAAAATATAACTTTCGTTATTGTAACTTTTATCCTGGACAAGTTTGGCTTTCTAGAATTTACTCTTTTACTTTGGACGCTGACCATTTATTTTCATTATTTACAATTACTGTATTGAATATTAACCATTTGCTTTGAATATTTAGTTTTAGATTAATATTGAACAGCTATAGCAATCTAAGGCGCAAGCGACGCAAAATGGGTACAGCCTTTAAATTATGTTCAACAAAATGAAGGCGCAAAGATTTTATATAGTTTATTTTATAATACATATAATGTTTTATAGTGTGTGCGGGTTTTACAGCAGTTAATAACACACGTTGTATAAACCTGTTTTGATCTGAGATTTATTCATCGCTTGGTTGGCATATAATGATTATTACAAATATTACCCTTTGCAACTTGAAGTTTTAGCGACAGAAACATATACTAGGAAAATAGAAAAAAAATAAAAAAAGGTGGGCTAGCAGAACCAAAACCGCTTTTGCAGGTTTATATTCCACTGATTTAATCTAATTGTTACTGCCTTCTCGTCTTTAGCACACAGGTATTTGTGGACATTAAAGCACAGACAATGGAAACCATTAAAGTATTATATTGTCTGTGATTAAAGGCACTAGTGTACAACTTCTTAAGACCATTCAGTAGTTTATGGTTTGGAAGATGGTAAGGACATCTTGCAAAGTTTTAGCCTAGCACACTCTTAAGTTGCCTAACTCCAGTCCCGTGCTCGTGTATCCTCATAAAAAAAGGTAGAAGATTAACTTCGGAAATTCTTCTTCGGTTAAGGTGGCTGAAAGGCCCTACACCAAGTATAATGCATGATTTCGAACTAATTTGGGGGGGGGGGAGGGGTTAATTCTTATTTAGTTTAAGCTTCAACTTCAAAAGTACACTTTACATAAAATGGGACTGTGGTATGAACTTACTGGTACGTACTATCAACCAAGCGAAATATTAGGTCTAGAGCACGTGTAATAGCTATTTACGTTACAAGTGTAGTAAGAGCGTTCTTACATCCTGCAGTTAGGTAAAATCGTATACTTGGTGGAAAATTTAGTATTTATGAGTATTTAAAATTTAATCCATAAAAAGTAGCTTTTCCAAAATTAAAATCCTTAGAGGTTATGTTTGATTAAAACGTCAAAATCAAAAGAATGCCCAGCTGAGACCGCCATGGATGCTCACCTTGTGTTGTTGTTTACAACTCTTTGACGCCCCATAAAAGCGGCACACAGGGTTCCTAGTAGTTCATGTCATGTTCGGCGATTCGGCGTAAAGAGAATCGGGTCTTCCTAGAACATCTCCCTCGCCACAGACATAAACAATATGAGTTTGGAATGACGCTTCTTTTAATACTCGGCGGAACCCAAGGTGTTGTAAAAATATGAGTAGTCAACTTAGAGTATACATTTACCTAAAGGAAACGAATGAGTGCAAAAGCCAAAATTTGAGTGCAAGATGAATTGTTATTTTGGATATTGAAATGGTGGATAAATGTAGTTTTACCTTTTATTTTGATGGTACAGTGACACCTAGGGTTAGGTTCAGACCACTAAGTTATCACATACGGTATTCATTGGTGATTGGTGGGATGTAAATATAAGCCTTCTGGGACAGTGGGTTTAAGTTTGTTGCAATAAGACAAAGATCAATCTCATATCTTTAGTTTGTTACATATTTTTTATGGGTTCTTATTTTTTTGTACGAAATATTGATTTTGTTATCTTTGCAATTTTCTTTTCAATTACTTGGACTAAGGGTCTTTTTCAGAAGAGGGCCGCCACTTTTTTATCCATGGAATAATCGCAGTTTAGGTTTGGTTACTTTATAGCTCACAAGTTTAGTTTTTATTATTAACTGAACAGAAATAATGACAAAAACTCAACAATTATCTAACCTAAACTGTGGGGTTTCCACAGTTTAAATAGTGGTGTTCCTCTTCTAAAAAAGACCCTGGACTAATAATAAATATGAAAATTAATTTTTGATTGTTTGTAATTTTACCAGTGTTTCAACTTGCTTTTTCTTTTTGTGTTTTTTGGATTTGCTTAATATTATTAGCTATGGTAATTTTTGTAGAGTACATCTTTTAATACAGCTTATTTTTACATACGTATTCAAGGACACAAATACTCATTCAATTTCACGTGTTCAAAACCTTCTTCTACAATTTAATTTATTTTGATATACATTTTTTTTTTACCATTACATGCCGCAAACTATATTTCAAATTTTCCATTGTTAAAAACCGTTGGTCATGCGCAGGATTCGAACTTGTGTCCCCAGTACAGAGGTCCTGTGTTCTACAACAATGCTGCTGATCCTACCTTGCTCTGCTGCTCCTGTTGACTCAGCAACTGCTCTCGGACCATCTGAAGCTGCAGAATCATCTCCGACAATCTTCGCTCCTTCTCCAGAAAGTTGTCTCCGGTCAGACTCTGGAGTTGTAGCATCGCCGTGACGTTGTCTCGCTCTCCGTTGTCTGCTTCCATCCTGACAACAGACAACGTCCATTAGACACTGATAATATCCATTATAAACTGTCATTATCCATTAGAAACTGTCATAATCCATTAGAAACTGACAATATCTATTTTAAACTGTCATTATCCATTAGAAACTGACAATATCTATTAGAAACCGTCATTATCCATTAGAAACTGTCATTATCCATTAGAAAGTGTCATTATCCATTAGAAAGTGTCATTATCAATTAGAAAGTGACAATATCCATTTGAAACTGTTATTATCCATTAGAAACTGTCAATATATATTAGAAACTGACAATAGCAATTAGAAACTGTCATTATCCATTAGAAACTGACAATATATATTAGAAACTGTCATTATTCATTATAAACTGCCATTGTACATTAGAAACGTTCATTATCCATTATAAACCGTCGATATCTATTAGAAACCGGCAATAGCAATTAGAAACTGGCAATATATATTAGAAACTGTCATCATCCATTAGAAACTGTCATTATCCATTAAAAACTGTCATTATCCATTAGAAAATGACAAAACTCGTCATAAACTGATATCTATCAATATCTTTGCAGCATACACTAAAAACATACAACATCCATTAGAATAATACATATGCAGTACACAGAAGTATGTTTGTTAGATGACATTGCCAATTGTGAAATTATTCGATGCACAGTTACCATATAAACTAATGTTACTTAGAACATAAATTTTGCTTCAATGAATATAACATATTTTAGTTATTACCTTCTGTTTTCCGTAAGCTGGTGATGCTCTCTGAGAATTTCATGTTGAAGTTTTGCAGCTAAGTTTTGTAAACTTCCTTCATCACAGTCCAACCTGAAACAATTGAACACGTAAGTATATAACCTTCTGGATACTTAAAACAAACTCAATGGAAATGGACAGAAGCGCAAACCTAAATAGGAGTAGGAGTATTTAATTTTAAAATGTTCTCTGAATAAAGTAATTTTTAAAATATGAAACTTAGAGTGGTGAAAGTCGGTAGGTTCATAATTGTTCTAATCTGGACTTGATTATTGTAATGATTCTGATGAAATAAATATTTAGTAAAAAAATGTGCATCGACTATCTCACTATATTCTACACTCACTCTGTATTTATCGTTAGCTTAAAATACGTACTAAAATTGGGTAAATTTTACAAAAAGATTTAGTTACAAACATCTTGAAAGCTGTAACAATTGAAAATGAAGTTTTACTGGATAAATATATTAATGTTGTATTCCAATAACAATTCACAATGCGAAATAAATGTTTAATATGTTTTTTTATGGTTCTACAATATTTAACGTAACAGTAAACTAACATAGCGATGTTGTGGAACGATCTGATTCAGCTGACTGATAAGAAATGAGCTGGCCAGGATCTTAAGTTCAAAGTTCTTAGTTTATGACCACAACAAAAATACATGCAGTATGATTTTTTTAACTCATTTCTGTAAGGTCTGAAAATGCTACAAGATATAAATCGACGTTTCTGCAATCTTCAGAATAATAAACATCGATTCGATTTATTCATTAAACAATCAAATCTCATAACTTCCAACACACGATACAAACTCTATGAACTCCAAACGATACATTTTGCACTATTGAACACTAATCCGTGTATTTCAGCAAAACAAGAGCTATCATCCGAATAGAACCTTTTAACTGACATTGATGCGATGAAAACATCGCAAATTGAATTCACAGGGGCAGCTTTGTTGGAGCAACAAACGATGAATATTCGCGATATAAAACAATTAGCCCGATTCGCGATACAGTTAATTCCGTTATTGTTGCTACTTTGGAAAATTGATTGTAAAAAGCCAGTGGAAACTGGATAAAAGGGCATTGGAAGCGCATTGTAGGGTTTGAATAATTTAAGAGGGGTGCAGTGGTGACATCACGACCCTGAGTGGGGTGAATATGTATATGGTACACTCTTTGTTTGTAGTTCATTGTTGGTTAACAAGATTGTTGTGGAAATTTTCTGTAGTGTGTTGGTAAAAAAGATTTTGCGACGTTTCGGGATCTGTAGTCTGACCTGAGGGTGAGTTTTCTAGAATGATAGAGCGAATGTGTCTAATAGTTGATATGATTGATAGGCCAAAAGCCTAAGGTTGTTAAACTTGGCCGAAGTAAATTAAATACGATTTAAATAAAACTAGAGTTCGTCCAGTGGTCGAAATAACAGAAATACGTAATGTGTAGACTTCTCTATTTTCACTGTAAATACATGTGATTGAAATTTCTACCATTTGTTTTGATTTTCTGTTTATATTTCGTTGTTATTTCATCACCAGCATAGAAACCCATAAGGCACGTGCTATTTTTTTTTTTTATTTTAAATTATTTTTTTGTGCTTATTTTTGAGCCTCTTTTATAACTTTTTATAAAATATCTTTGTAACAGTATGCGTATACTTTTCTAGCGATGCACACGAGCTCAGAAAAAATGGTTTAAAGAAACGTGCTTGCCTATTGATTTATAAATAAATAAATCAAACAAAAAATAAAATAAAAAAATAAAATATGCTCAATTAAATAAACCTTTGGCAAAACAATTTTTGTAATTGGTTAAAAACATAGCAATAAAACGAATAAAAAACATTAATAATTTATCAACACTACTTTTATAAACTTTACAACAATGTATTCCTCCACGATCTCTTAGGCCACGCCCAGTATAAAAATCACAAACTCTGGGCAAAAAATAGCAGAACGAGTGACCTTCTAATAAAAAATGCTTAAACCAGTTAGGCCAGGACGACGTCCATTTCGAGTGGTCCCTTGGGGGGGGGGGGCATGCGGAGTTGTGGGGAGGTGAATAATTTACAAAACAGACAAGACGGGGCCACATCATTGCCAATGAAAGTTAAACCTCCCTTGGTAAAAAGGGTGACGTATAAATAAACAAAGAGGTCGACGTTATCTCAGAGCCTTTGTGATTGGGTTATTGTCTTGAGGCGGGGAGCGAGCTGGCGTAGTGGTTAGAGCGCGGGACTTCAGTCCCTGAGGTCTCGGGTTCGATCCTCGCCAAGTCACCAATGGATTTGATCCAAGTGATAATGCCGCAACCCCTAGGTCTAGCCTGAAGTAATGTGAAAAACAATCCCAGGCTCGTGCCTAGCGTCCTAGAACAAAAAAAATTGTCTTGAGGCTGGGAGTGAACTGTGGGAATGTGTATCTTTAAAAATTGATGTTTCTGTTTGAGGTTATTTTTAAAGTAATATGTGTGGTCATTTAAATTCGAGAAATTCTGATGTTGGAAAGGAAAATTCTTACGTTTTGGATTAGGGAATTTCATATAGATTTACTATAGTAAGTATTGAACTGTTGTGACAAGTTTTCAAAATATAAACCTTAGTAGGTATGTTTCTTTTACATCACTTAAGGCAATTGTGCGCTCTTTTGGAGCAAACTCAGACAAAATAGAAGTATACTAAATTGTAATCCTATGACCCTATAGGCCCTAAACCAGAGTCTGTCTTTCTAGAGAAAAAAGGAGACGCCTCTAGGAAAAAGAGTCTGGCTCTCCTTAATCTCCTTACACTAAAAGCTGCACGATAATTACCATTTTGTTGTAGCCAGTAAAATAAAAATACAAATGAACTGTTTATGCAAACTTATGCATAGTTTATATGCACTTATGCATAGTTATAGTTCTGCAAAATCCGCTGATCTTTGCAATATGCGTATGATTTCGTGTCATTTTTGTGTGAGTGTATTATTTTTAAGTAACTGTATTCTTTTAGAAGTCTACAATAAAAGAATATCCACGTTTAGTCTGAGAATGGAAATAACTTCACGACGAAACTAGCTGAATGCAATCAAAGAAATTTCCATAACTATGCATTCACTCAATTTTGGTTAAATAATTTCGATGTAAATAAAAACTAAAGAGAAACAAGCCAACCCCTTATCGATCGGACTGAAATTCTAGAGATAGGTCAGTGCTCGAACACAGGATATAATATAAATAAATTGGCGCGGCGTCGCTCTTTTACTTGATTTAGTCCGCAGGCTTCGCTATTGCATTATTGTAGGTTCGAACCAATATTGTTGCTAACAGTAATGCGATTTTATAATCAGCCGCGTGGCCCTAGCAACCCTTACAATCCGATTTACTCGTCGTAACAATAATCGAACTTATTTCACTCGATTGTCTGTGTCCTATTTTATTCGATTGTTGCTGTTTCGAAACTCGATTTGTTACATTTCGAGTTTCTGCATCTTGAGTGTCTCTTATGATTACGAGAGCTTGTAAAATAACATGTTTTGTTGTTTCTGAAGAGTATTGAAATGTCATTTATTGTAACTTTAAGATCAAAACAAATTGTACGTTTGCTAGGTACATTTTTGATAACTCTCTTTAGAAGAGTAATTACTAACAAAAATATTATTTTAAACAACTACACCGACCCTGAATAGGCCTATATGATTTTTGTACTCAGTATAAAGGTTTATATACTGAAAACCTCATATTTATGAAAATGAAAATAGTTAGTATCTTAATATATTGAGTAAAATATATTGAAATATTTTTGCTCTCAGTTTATTAACTTTATAAAGGGTCCCAAATCCCCCGAACAGTAGTTTGCTTAAGAGACCAATTCAATATAAAAACAAAATTGCAAGACGGCGTTCATGGTAGAAAACCTTCAAAACAGACAGATAGTTCTCATTAACAAAGTACCTTCGGCTTAGCATAGATTCTTATCCATCGAGCCAATACATCGCGTAGCAAAATGTGAATGGTGATTAGCAGGATTTGAACCCGAGAAACTAGGCAAGAAGGTCCGCGCTTTAACTACCAGACCAGCTGTGCCACAATCCATACAAAATAGCAATTTCCAAACTACATAGCTTACGTACTACAAGCAATTTCACAGAAATAACACTTTCATCATCTCCAAAATTTCATCTAAAAACGAACATTACAAGTTAAATCGTGCTAGAAAAAATTAACGTGAAGGCACGACTACCGGGGACCCACTCGTATGGTAAATATTGACAGTGGCCCACAATGCGGGGAAATATTGGAAAATGGGGCGAAGTGTGTTTACATGTCAAGCAAACACACGGTACACAATGACTGGGCAGTAACTACAATAGTGGGCCACCTGCGAACTGGGAGGGGGGTATAAAAAGTGATGGGGGTGTACAAAATAACCTAAACAGTACTGAGTGGTTATCCGTGTATAGGTAGGTGATAAGGTTTTGATCATTCAAAAGGAGTCCTATATTTTCTTGATTGTTGGATTTTGTTTAAATTGCACTGTCTAATAATACAGGTTAAAATCATTTCTCCGTTACCATAGAATTAAGTCAAAATGGGAGTAGTTAAAGTAGGCCACCAACAGATTGCGCTGTAGTAAATTACTGATTTCTGTCGAATATTTGGACTTTTAACCAAATCAAACTAGGAGAAGTTATTGTAAACTTAAGCATCTGCCATGTCCCGTCAACTGTCTTAGAAACAAAAAATAAGGTAAAAATAGAATTTTTGACACTAGTACAATCTGTGACTGATTAAAAAAACTATGTGCTTTTTAATAATAAATTTGCGAAGCTGCCCATATGGACGAAATGTCTTCTTCAGTGTAGTCAATTCTAAAATTCCAGCTAGTGCCTACAACTATATTTTTTACCCTATTTTTGTTGCTAACCAAGTTAATGGGTCAAAACAGTTACAATAGTTCTTAATACAGTAATTTCATTAGTTTGACTTGGCAAAAAAGTGTGTGTATTTGACAGCAATTAGTAATATAGATCAGCACAATCCGTCGGTGGCTCACATCAACTACGACGATTTTGATGATAAAACTCGCAACAAGTTAAACATGGGGAATGTTCAGGTATCAATAGTCAAAGTTACTATGCACTACCATGTGCGTTAAGAATATACTTTTTGTTTACTTGTGGTATCCAGCAGATTTATTAAATTAATAAATATTTCTAACATACTGTACGTCATCATACACGTCATACTAAACTGCAAAATCGGTTCCGAAATATTAAATTTTACCCTAATTCCAAACTCCACACTAGAATTAATAACGGAGAAACAACTCGAAATTCAACTGCGATATAATTATAAGTCCCTGACAGACCTACGAGACACAATGTAGCAGTGTGAATAAGTAGCCAGGAGCGAGGAAATGCATGGAGAGGACATCAGCCAATTGAGGGGGTATTGTGTTACTCGCAATGCATGCCGGGAGACTCGCAATGCATGCCGGTCACGCCCTTAAAGTAGCTCGTGTTTTAATAATGCGAAGTTCATTACGAGACCCTTGACGCCTTCGAGTCTTCGCTATAAACGGCATTATGACTTAATTAAGTCGTTAGGTACAATTGTATTGTTGGAGAGTATGGAACTGCCTTGGAATTCTCGTTTTGTTATCTCGTTGAGTTTTGAATTCTAGAGTAGATGTACCTCTGGACCAGGTGTAGGTTTATTTGAATAGAATGGTTAAATGAGCATCTTTCAGAATGTGTTACATGCTATAACAAATACAATTACAATTCTAATATTATGTCTTCTTTCTCCTGCTTCTCGAGACGACATATTGTTGATGAGATGGAAATGGTATAACAATTAATAATACTGGTGATCTTATATTCTGAAGTACATATCCCATCGTGGACATGTATTACAAATATTTTATTCACATAGAAAATTGTTGAATGACAAACTCATCGAGGTCAAATGTCATTTTTTCATACTTTTATTCAAAAATGGCTACAGTCTTTGATTATGGTGATCATAGACAAAACATTCTCATTTTAAAGTTGTGGATAATCTTAGAATGACAAACAACGATACCAAAAGTGTACTGATGCAGTTTACTGGTTGCCATTTAATAATCAAACTTTTAACAAATTAAAGCTTCAAGAAAATCTTTATTGTTAACTATGAGCGTTTTTTGTCACGTCAACTAGTAACAAGAACTAAGAGAGAAAGTGTTAATTTAGCCCTCTGTAGAAGTTTATTCAACTATCTTCGATTTGAATGAAAATCTCCATCTGCTTGTTCATGTGGACAGGATGAATAGTTTGGTATCTAAAATCAATGCTACAACTTGATGAAAATGTGATATTCAATTTCATTTATAGTCAAAGATTAGTAATATGAACCAGTGTTTTTACTAGCGTCATATAGTTTTGAACTACTCGGTCATGTGTTTATCGCAATTTTAGCTTTTCTTAGTAAATAATTAGCTGGATTTTAACCAAAGACTTCATAAAGAAGTCTTATTTTATAACCAATTCACTAACCCTGGTAGATAATCTAAGTAAATAATTTTATGCGACCTATTTCTTCTTCAATATGATCGGTAGTATTTAAATTATTTATTTTGTCTCAGGTACTAAACAAAATCCATGATTCTACTGCAATTTACAAAATTTCGCATGGATTCAACATTAATTATGAACAGAAATAAAAAAAAACTGTCCTTAAATTACAGAAAATTTAAATATTTAACATTTAAAATCTCATACATTTTAATGCATTTAAACACCACAAAGGAAAACAACATCCTGTTGATATTACATATAATTTTCAAATTCATCAAACATTCAAATACTGAGCTTTCTGTTTCTCACAAACATTTCAATTCCCTTTTGTGCCAGACATTGTTTGATGGGCAAGAACGTTTGTTTGTGGCAATATGGCTGGTTTATTGTTCCACCGGATGATTATTTATTTTGTGCAAAATTCCTCTCTGTTTACATCCCTTCTGTTTCCACTGGACTTTGTGTTTCTCTGTGGACGGACATTGTCAATCGACGCTGCAAAGCTTTAAATAACTATTGGAGTCCATTTCCTAAATTAATTTCTTTCTGTTTTTGTACTGTTGAGTGAATTGTAAATGTATTAGATGTTTTTTTTTTTAGGAAATATGGTTTTAAAATTGAAATTACGAATCGTAGATCTTCTAAAAAAATTATGAATGTAAATTTTGAAATGCAAATTAACGTTTTTGTCATTGAATTTTACTCAAAATTAACTACAAATCTCGGGAGAAAAATATTTTTGATATTCATTGCTTGTGTTCTTGAATCTAACCGAAGCTATGGACTAACTACTCTTCTTATTTTGAAAGAAAATATTACTCACAAGAAGTTTTTTTAGTATTACTGTAATAGAAATATACAAATCTTTAATCAGCTGGGGAACGTATCGAGAAAAGCAAAGGGGTAGTTCGTGAATAAAAGTAACAGCCCTAAACTGATACATAGAGCCAAAAGGGAAAGGCTTTACCCTCTAGATTGTTTGAGTATAAGTTTAAAAATCAGACTAGTGCAAATTACATAGAAACAAAGTTACTTGAATCATTAGAATACAAACACAATATGGTAATGTCCTGCTTAACGGAATTCATCTATCCAATTAGTACCGTGTCTTTGACTTAAACCGACTACATGGTCATATTTCTGTCAAGGGAGCTGACCTAGAGCATGGGGTTTCAGTCTTCAAGGTCCTGGGTTTGGATCCCAACAATCATACATAAATGGCTTTTAACAATGTGATAATGATGCAAACCTCGATGCTTAGCTTGACGCACGGAATAAGGAGTGATTTTATTAGGAGTGGGGAGGTGGATTTTAGTTTTTAGGAGTGGGGTTATTTTGTGAAGTGTCAAATAACTCCGTACTAGAGTATAGTGTCAAGAATATAAAAATAAAATAAACATGTATACTCACTGTGGCTTAGTGGGCGAAGAGGGATCCCTCAATGTGCTGTTGTTCATCTTGTTTGTCAGTCGCTTCAGCACATCGTCCATGGTCCTCTTGCCTCCAACAGCCGAGTTGTGGTTCAGCGTCGTGCTGTTGTTGTTGAGATGCAACAACGCCTTCTTCTCTTCCGAAGGACTCTCGCACCCCGAGCGTCGCCGCCGGGGGGAGCGGTCGTCCAGGAAGCCGCTCTGGTTGAGCGCCAGAAGCGCCTGGAGAGAGTCCGGCCTAGGCGCACAGTTCATGGGGTAATACCTCGCGCACTCATCATTCTCACTATCGTCCTTCTTCCTCTTGTTGGGCGGAGACCGTAAAAGTTCGTCCTCCGGAGACAAGTCTTCCACTTCACTACCGGACGCTGCCGAAGACGAGGACGCCGAGGATAGCTTGTAGAACGCTGGAGGTTCTTGTGGAGGAGTTCGACGCGCCTCCACTTCTGGAGCGGTCATATTGTAGAACGCTAGAGGTGACGCTACCGCCTCCATGGGACCTGTGGGCTCCTCGTGGTCCGTCCCCGTCGCCCCGTCTCCACTGCCTTCTTGAAGCTTCGACGGCGGAGACTTGCGTTTAGAAGACATATTTCTGCAACAAAAAGAAAATATTCTTAGCAATTTTTTTGTGAAAAAGACTCGGTCAATTAAGGATGGAGTTGACGTTTTCAAACAGGTTTATGTTAAAGGGTACTTATAATGGAAATCCGTTTTACAACCTCTTGGACTTATTTGACTAAAAAGTCTTGTCTCCGTTGAAAAAAATCTCTCAACACAATGCTAACAAATTTTTTCAATAATTATAATTTTGAGCCTATCTCGGTATATGAGAAGTCCAAGAGAACCCACAATGGAACTAAGAACGCATTTTTGACAATTTAAATCCAAAAGAAATTCTCAAATGTGTGAATGATGCTGTAACGATATTTTCTTATAAGTACCTTAATTTGTTTGTGATTCCCCAAAAATATACATCAAATCCCTTCTACATCCTTCAGAATCTTAATGTCCCTCGCCATCCATTAAACTCCTTCAAATAACCATAAACTCATACTCTACAAGATGTTGCTAAGAAGCTGCGTCGGCACAAGACAGCTACACGAGTCAGAACAGCTGATATAATAATGCTCCTTGTTTGCCACTGTGAATGCAATGCGTCACAAAATTGTTCGGATAATCTAATGTACTAAGCTGAATGTCCGCTCTGTGTTGGGAATGTGGCGCAGTTAGTGATGATAACAGTGATAAGCGTACAAGAATGGCCATTGTACTAGGAGTCGATTCGCTGTAAAGAAGTTTGTCAAATTAGAATATTTGTGTAGTTTTCCTTGAATAATGTACGAATACAATGTTTTACTCCGCTTACTCACTTCACTAAATAAAACTATAAGAGACAAATATCTAAATACGGAAATAAAATAAATCCCTAGGACAAACACGAAGTATTTATTATGTTGCTTTAAACAAAATATTCAAGTAATAGAATAAAATATCTCTTCAATCTATACATGGTCAACAAACCATATAATTACAATTCCAGAAATTTAGATATTTTAGGATAAGAAGATAAAAACAAAATCGAATGAATGTGAAAAAATATTTTTTAAATATGTATTTTTGTAAAGAAAACCTAAAAAAAAAACTAAACAAAATACTAAAAATTGGTCTATACTGTTTCCTTGTAAAATCCTATATTAAATTTCTATTGGTACATACAAAATATAAAATCAACAAAAAATATATATTTATGGATACTTGCTCCATCAGATAGACTCCTTTACATATTTTAGTTGGCAGATAAAACAATATAAGTTAGAAACTTGGTCATTTTACTTTAAGTCCCCTCTTGACCTTAAGTAAAAGAAAGTTGCGTTATTCATTAAAATCTATTTAAAAATTCGACATTGAACATAAATTCACGAAAAAAACATCATCAAACCATTCAACCGCATCTGAGGCAAACCTAGACAGTGTCAAACTCAGAAATAAACTGCGAAGTGACAACATTAGTTGTAAGGGTGGAAGGGTAAACAGCTAGCCAGCTGAACCGTGTAAACCCATCTGGGGAAGATTGGGAAACAAATGAACCGGCTAAACTGCTGGAGAATGATCTACCGAAGATCACCAGGGCAGAGTGGGAGACGGTGTCTGGGTAGTGAAGAATCCATCAAACTGAGGATGGATTTGGCCATAGCCTACTCTAATAGGCCTACAGGGCCGCGGTGTTGGCGTGGCAACGTCGCACTGCCGGCCTCACGATGGTAATAACACTAACAACATGTATATGTATAAACATTGCACAGAGGTTTCGTTTGGATTCGTGCAACATCTGTTACGATTGGTCTGATCTGCGACGTTGCCACTTTTATCTCGTCATTGTATTAGAGGAGGCAATAATTTAGTATTTTACTTACTTCGAGGAGTCCCTAGAGATAAATAGATTTTGATGAGTTGATTAAAATCAGGATTTAAGGTGTGGATTGTATGGAGTAGAGATGAGCATTTTTGGAGACAAAGTCAGAATTATTCTAAATACCATCTTGCCTTTGTCTTAAAGGCTTCTACTATAGTATGTATGATGTAACCTGTCTCCTACCAGGGACTGGCCCGGGCTTTAATCCCTTGGTCAATTCCCAGGTTGACCCGGTCAGGAGATAGGTTCCATCATACACACTATAGGTACATAGCTGGTATAAGCTTTAAACACATAGACCACCATCATAGGAGACTTTTTCATTTAGGATTCGTCATAGTTTTTGACATATCAAATGCAGAGAAGGCGAACCCTTTCTGAAAAGTTCTACTGTCATGCTGCCTATAACATTGATTTTATCAACAGAATTTGCAAATCTCAATTTCAAAACACCGGTAGTTATGTTCAACGAATGATTCAACAATACTGTACAAATTAGCCAGGTGTAAGAAAAAAAGAGTTTTGACACGTAACTTATTGAAAAGTAACTTAGGTACTACCACAGACTAGTATATTTTATCTATGGTACTACCAAATTTCTTTACAGTAAAAGTCTATTTAGAGTAGAATTCAAGGATCAGACGATAATACGTGTGTAGATAATGTGAAAGAGCATTTATTTTGCAAATTAAATATGTAAAAACTCTAACTTCCCTAAGTACTTTTCCTAAAAATGTTCAAAATCGTTACATTTAAGATAACACCCCTTCAAAATATAATTTGAAACTGGTTCAAATAGAAATTAAAATTGTTATGGAAAATAAAAATAAAACAGCTGGGATTAAAATTTGTGTACAAGATGTAAGGATTAATCTTAACAAAATAAAAAGATAGGGAGTTTACCTATAAACAATTCGTCTTACCAAATAAAAATTCAAGTCGCACCATCGTCACTGTCTCACCTCTAATCTTTCAAACAATTCGATCTCCTATCAAAAACTATAATGCAGAATTAAAAACATCATAACACTCCTATCTGAAAAAATAATCTGATGAGAATTTAAACTGCAGTTTAGAGATGGCAATCGTCATAATAGACTGCAATGAAGGCAGTTAGTTATGTAAACAACAATAGTGGTGTTGTAGTTATGCCAGTTATGTGTAACGACTGCTCAACGACACATTATGTGGTGAATTGAACATTAATGCGGCCATTATGTTTGTTGTCACATTAGGCATCCAGTGATATCATCTTTGAACTTAGTCATTCATCATGAGAGTCTTATTTGCGTTGCGCCATTTTTTGATCGAATTTTCCCGATGGGTTTTTCACTCGAATTGTGTGAATGGTTTGACATTTTAAATTTGGAAGTAATTAGTTATTTTCTTAATAGAAAAGAGTGTTAGCATAACTTGTGTATAATTCCAACTGGGACGGGTGGCATCGTCCTGTAATCCAGCTACTAGGAGGTTACGAATTGTGGATGTTTATAGGCATGCACTGTGGATGCGATACTCCCTGGTGTGGATTAACGTCCGCACGAGTCAGTACTACGACTATCCGCAGTATTATCCTGAAAATTAGACCAATTCGTATATACCAAGGCGAAAATGTGGTTCGGATTCCACTATAAACTTTAGGTCCCTTAGTTGCCATTAGCTGTATGGGCTATTAGTTATTAGCTGTCTAAGGAATAAGTCGGCCTTAGTCACTAACAAGACTACAAGATCGCGCCACTCATCCTATACACTCATCTCCATTCATACTTGGCTTAAAATACCTACTTTGTATGGTCGCCATTTTATTGAAAAGTATTAAAGTATTAATGTATTTATTTGTGGCACAATTCATACAATCATGTTCTGATAAGTACTTAAATTAAATATTTTACATTTTTTCAATTATCAACTGAGATGGGACGCCATCTAGCTACATATTTCAACCCGAATATGAGTGAAGGATGAGTATAATCATAATCAAAAATAATTAAATATAGACCGTCAGCTGTGCTGCGGTACGGCGTACGCGCTACGTAACTACACGGCGCTACCAGGGGTGTGCGCCAGAACCTATGGTAACCAAGGTAACTGCAGCATGGCTGACAATCTTTATTTAATTATTTTTGTCTATGGTGTAATTGATAGAGTGAGATGATCTGTGTAGCTTTGTTACTGACTCAGCTGTTTCAGGAAAACAAAATACTGTATATTTATTCGAGTTTTGCTAATTTTATAATATTTAATTTTTCCGCCCACACAAATTTCGGACCTGTGCATGGAACATGAATCAGCGCAAAGGAGAACCGATGCAGTATAAGAAATTAACTAAATATAATTTTTTTCATCGGCTTCATCAGGACGGGAACCAAAAATGCTCGATTTTCATTACTACCTACTAATCAATTTATTCTTCAAACTACCTATTTCTAACCATTCTGTTAAACTTGACCTATTTCCGTAAAATTTGGATACCAAAGAAACAATCCTCCTATTGTAAAATATAAAACCTCGATTTCAAGTGGTATTTTATATTGGATCGTTTCAAGTGTGGTACGCACAATAACATATGTAGAAAAAATATGATGTACAATTAGTTTGAAAAGTGTCTTTTTTCAAATAAATCAACATTTCAATATCTTTATTTATTTTTGAAAAGTGTAACTTTTTTAATAGTACAAATATTGATGTTCTTTATTTTTGGTAAATTTACAAGATTGTTCACTCTTTGAGTATAATACAATGGTAGTAATTGTTTACGAAAGGGACGTTTTACTTAGTTAAATTTATTTGTAATTTTGTGAAATGTTAAGAAATGTCAAAAAAGTTAGATCTATCAAAATCACTTTATACAAAAAATAGGCTGCAACCTTCAGCTGATTCATAAGGATGAAAAATGTAAAAAAGAAAATGTTTATCCCTTACTTACACAAATCGGAGAGTGCGATTTCATTTTCAAATAAACAATTTAGTAAAACATATTAAAAGATTTTTACCCCTCTATGTATATTTTTCTACTATAATAGAGAATATTGTGAACATACACAGTTCTACATACATCATGACATTTGCACTCACTCAAAACAGCTGAGAAGTCCCAGTGAGAGCATTGTTAACATTCCTGTCAGAATAGTAAATTAAAAGCAGCCTGAGCGGATTCACACGACCCCACTTCCCAAAGT